CACCCCCCCCCCAAAAAAGCCCAATCTTGCTGGAACTGCTCTTCTTAGTAGTATTTGGGGCCAATAAAAACACCCCTACTAAATAAGAAATTATAGAATGATACCGTACTACCACATCAGCTGGTGGTACTTCCATTCAAAAAATGTCATATTATAATTTTTTTTACAGCTAGATTTAATACTTTCTTTTTAACTTTAGAATAAGATTTTTTTTACTTTAACAAAGAAAGAAACCAAAGAAGCTGCCGGAAACCACCTCCCACCACTACCTAATCCCCATCCTCGCACTTCTTCCACCCGACCCAATAGTCCATGGATTAAGAAAAGAAAAATTAAGAAAGCAAGCTCATTTAGGGACTCGACAAGTTTCTGTAGTGTGCTGGTTATTTCTTTTTGGGTTTGTTGATAATCATTTGTACAAAAACCACAAAGGAATAATCAATTTTTGTTATTTCCAGTGATTTCTTTATGTGGTTCTTGTTTTAGATTAACTAGATGGCCAACCAAAACCCTTGGGCGGTTGGGTTGGGTGGTTGGTAGTGCAAGGTAGGAAAATTTGGGTTGTCGTGGGAGTTGGTTTCCGGCGTCTTTGGTTTTTTTTTTTTTTTTTTTAATATTATTTTAGAGAGCAAAAGTCCAGCTATAAAATAAAACACTATAATTTTTTTTTAAATGACACATGACATATTTTGAATGGAAGTTCCACTCGCTGACGTGGTAGTACAATACCATTCTATAATTTCTCCTACTAAATCCGCTAAAAGTTTTACATGTGGCATATTTAGTAGATGGAGGTGCAAACAAGTGCCCATAGTAAAATTTTAAAATGAAAAAAATCAAGTGTTTAAGGATCATATATGGTCCTCAAGGTTAAAATCCTTCTATAAATAGTTTTTTCATTTTAAAATTATATGAAGCTTAAATTATTTTAAAAAAAAACTTCTTTAGTTTGTTGATGTGACATATATGTGGAGTCCACATATTCAATAATATAGTGTCACGTGTATTTAAAATACGATACATATTTTTAAATAATTTTAAAAAGAAAACCAAATTTTTATGAATTTAAAATTTAAAAAAAAAAAAAATTCAGGAACCATTTGTGATAGGTGTATGAACCTCAATGATGTTTTGTGATATATACATATATATATGTCACGTCAGCAAACTAACGGAGTTTTTGACAGAATCTAATGGCATGAACTATTTATGATCACACATACTAACCTTAAGGACCACGAATGACATAAAAAGAATATTATGGATGCAATATGATAGTTTCGTAAACCTTAGGGACGTTTTGTGATATTAAGCCATATTTTTTAATTCCACCCCTCTTGGTTATACTGGATTTAATATTTTATTATTCTTTTTACTTCAAAAGCATCTCTAATAGTAGTAGCAATTATACTCTTCAAATTAAAGTTTGTTGACCTAATTCGAAAAAGATTGTTTGCTACTTTAATAATTTGTGCCCTAAATAGACTTTTCAATTCAATTAATGCAATATTATGGAAAAAAGAAAATTATGAAAACATGTGAAGAAAGTCTATATATTTATTATTTGAAAAGAAAAAGTGTAGGTTTTTATCATTTTCAATGTAGTTTCTATTCTTCCAAGCCAAAATTAAATGCTATGAAGAGCCGAGGTCAACTGTCAGTCTTGAAGAGAGAGAATGGAGTTGCAGCTTTGGTCACTGAATTAGATGTGACTCACCTATTTTATAATTCCAAAGGGGCTATTGGAGATGCTCTTAGTATCTTGAGACCTAATACTAATTCTATCTTCCCTCTCTTTAGCTGTCGTTTGGCCCCCTTTTTTATCCTATCATCTCATGCTCCATCACCTCTTCATCTTCTCCCCATCTTCTTTTCATCTAATTTTTTTTATTTGCGACATTATACAGGAGGCGTCCCAAAAACTTGCAAATTTTAATGCATTCTTTTTTTTAATTTGATTTCATATTGGTATTATTGAAAAATTAAACAAATTTTGTTTTACATTCCTACGCAAACCAAAGATGAGAAAGAAAATAAAGTGGTATTTCCTTGCTACTTTCCGAGTATTAAAAATATGGGAACGCAATCTTCCATCAAATCTTTTCCGCGAATCAAACGAGGCCTAAATTTAGAGGCTCAGGATCTATCTCCCTAGCATTACCCTAAACATAATAGCCCGCAAATATGCTTGCAGGGTTCAGTGTCAAAGACTAGGATTCAAAATTTTGGTCATCCATTATTTTCAAAACATTATACAGCAATTTATACTGTCATTAATCAAATGTTTCATCTGCTTTTAATTGGCAGGTCTGAATCTGTACTTATTGACAGCATCGTTAAAGACATTTCACTACGAGTATTGAATGATACGGGCAACTTTTATGTAGCAGATCACCCGGTTGGAATTAAGTCCCGTGTAGGACAAGTGAATTATCTTTTACGTCTTGGGGTAGAAGATATTCGTATGGTAGGGGTATGGGGGATTGGTGGAATAGGTAAGACTACAATTGCTAGAGCTGTTTACAATTCAATTGCGCAAGTGTTTGAAGGTTGTTGTTTCTTGGAAAATGTGAGAGAAGAATCAATGCAACATGGAGGCCTGGTCAAACTGCAAAACATTATTTTGTCTAAAATTATAGGAGGGAAAGAATTGGAGGTGGCCACTGTTCATGAAGGAATCAACGTGATAAAGAAAAGGCTAAGCAAGAAAAGGGTTCTCATAGTTGTTGATGATGTGAACCAAGTAGACCAACTAAAGAAATTAGTTGGAAGGTGTGACTGGTTTGGTTTCGGCAGTAGAATTATCATAACGACAAGAGATAAGCACTTGCTCACTGCTCATCAAGTTAATCGAATCTACAATGTCAAGGAATTGGATGATCACGAAGCTCTTGATCTCTTCAGTGCGAATGCCTTCCCAGGGGAAAGACGACTTTCAGATGATTATGTGAAGCTTGCTAGAACTGTAGTGCAGTACGCTCGAGGCCTTCCCTTAGCTCTGATAATTTTAGGTTCACTTCTTTGTGGTGGAAGTATGGAGGAATTGCAAGATGCAATAGATGGTTACAAAAAAATTCCTAATCCAGACATTCAAGAAACTCTTAAAATAAGTTATAATTCATTGGAAGATCCAGTGAAAGAAGTTTTCCTTGACATTGCATGTTTCTTTAAAGGTGAAAACAAGGACCATGTGATACAAATACTAGAAGGTTGTGGCCTCAACCCTGAGTATGGTATCAAAGTACTCAAAGATAAGGCCCTCATAAATGTTAACGAAGGAAATTATATTTGGATACATGACTTACTTGAAGAAATGGGAAAAGAAATAGTTCGCCAAGAGTCACCTTTTGAACCTGAATATCGTAGCAGATTGTGGTATCATGAGGATGTCGATCATGTTCTAACAAAATGCATAGTAAGTGGAATTATAATATATATATATATATATGTATATGGGAAATGCTCTATTAAGATTCAAAAATAGAATTATGAAAAACTTGCATTCTTATGTGATTATGAACTTTGCTCTGTTAATACTGTTGCCTTTTCATGTTAGGGAACAAATAAAACTAGGAGCATCATGGTAGAGTTGCCTCCAGGAGATGGCATACGATTGAGTGCTTCAAGCTTCTCAAAGATGATAAATCTTAAACTTTTAATTATATACGGTAATGCACAGTTTTCTGGAGAGGATGCTTTTCTGCCCAATGAGTTAAGGTTCATAGACTGGCCTGAATTTTCTTCCAGCTACCTGCCATTCGATTCTAATCCAAAGAAGCTTGTTAAGCTGAATATGCCTCGTGGCTGCATGTCGCGACTTGGGAATGGATTCAAGGTATTTTTAATTATTCGTATCCATTGTTATATATTGTCAAAAGAGTGTTTTTTTTTTTTTTTTAAATGACAAAAGGTATTTATTGTTTTGCCTTGCAGAGTATGGAAAACCTGAAATATATGCATTTTGAAAGCTGCAAATTCCTAATAGAATTCCCCGACGCCTCTGGATTCCCAAATTTAAAGGATTTGAATCTAAACAACTGCACAAGTTTAGTTACGGTTCATGATTCTGTTGGATTTCTTAATAAGCTTGTTGCCTTGAGTCTTATGGGATGTGACAAGCTTAAATTTTTTCCATTGAGAATTGCATTGAAATCTGCGAAATATATATGTTTGCGGGATTGCAGAAGTCTCAAGTATTTCCCTGAGATTGTGGAGAAGATGGAGTGCATAATAGTCTTGGATCTATCCTACACTGCCATAACAGAGTTACCTTCATCAATTGGATATCTCGTTGGCCTTGAAGTGTTAACTCTAGAAGGATGTGAAAACCTTACAAATATGCCATGCAGCATTTATGAGTTGCAACATCTAACGAGTGTTAGTCTCTATGGATGCCGGAATCTTGTTAAGTTTCCGAAATGGAGTGCAGAGTCACTTCCAGGAAACTCAAATGTTTCACCTGACTTGTGGTATCTTAACCTTGCTGGTTGCAAGAGCCTTGAAGAAATTCCTGAACTTCCACCAAAAATGGAACGGGTACATGCTGCTGATTGTGTTTCATTGGAACGATTTGCAAACTTCTCAAACATCTTAGAGCAAAAGGGGGAACAAATGATCGAATGTGTCACATTGTTTAATTGTCAGAAACTGTGTGATAATCTGGCTCGTGACTTGTCAAAGAATCAAAGTATTTTGCCAAATAAGGTCAGTCTCTGCTCTGTCATTTTCTCATCTCAGCAAGGTCTATTCGACATTGTATTTCCCGGAAGTGAAGTTCCAAAGTGGTTCAGCCATCACAAAGATTTGTGTAATAAAAGTGATAGATCTGAGTTTTCTTTTGAAATCCCTCGATTCAAAAATAGAATTATGAAAAACTTGCATTCTTATGTGATTATGAACTTTGCTCTGTTAATACTGTTGCCTTTTCATGTTAGGGAACAAATAAAACTAGGAGCATCATGGTAGAGTTGCCTCCAGGAGATGGCATACGATTGAGTGCTTCAAGCTTCTCAAAGATGATAAATCTTAAACTTTTAATTATATACGGTAATGCACAGTTTTCTGGAGAGGATGCTTTTCTGCCCAATGAGTTAAGGTTCATAGACTGGCCTGAATTTTCTTCCAGCTACCTGCCATTCGATTCTAATCCAAAGAAGCTTGTTAAGCTGAATATGCCTCGTGGCTGCATGTCGCGACTTGGGAATGGATTCAAGGTATTTTTAATTATTCGTATCCATTGTTATATATTGTCAAAAGAGTGTTTTTTTTTTTTTTTTAAATGACAAAAGGTATTTATTGTTTTGCCTTGCAGAGTATGGAAAACCTGAAATATATGCATTTTGAAAGCTGCAAATTCCTAATAGAATTCCCCGACGCCTCTGGATTCCCAAATTTAAAGGATTTGAATCTAAACAACTGCACAAGTTTAGTTACGGTTCATGATTCTGTTGGATTTCTTAATAAGCTTGTTGCCTTGAGTCTTATGGGATGTGACAAGCTTAAATTTTTTCCATTGAGAATTGCATTGAAATCTGCGAAATATATATGTTTGCGGGATTGCAGAAGTCTCAAGTATTTCCCTGAGATTGTGGAGAAGATGGAGTGCATAATAGTCTTGGATCTATCCTACACTGCCATAACAGAGTTACCTTCATCAATTGGATATCTCGTTGGCCTTGAAGTGTTAACTCTAGAAGGATGTGAAAACCTTACAAATATGCCATGCAGCATTTATGAGTTGCAACATCTAACGAGTGTTAGTCTCTATGGATGCCGGAATCTTGTTAAGTTTCCGAAATGGAGTGCAGAGTCACTTCCAGGAAACTCAAATGTTTCACCTGACTTGTGGTATCTTAACCTTGCTGGTTGCAAGAGCCTTGAAGAAATTCCTGAACTTCCACCAAAAATGGAACGGGTACATGCTGCTGATTGTGTTTCATTGGAACGATTTGCAAACTTCTCAAACATCTTAGAGCAAAAGGGGGAACAAATGATCGAATGTGTCACATTGTTTAATTGTCAGAAACTGTGTGATAATCTGGCTCGTGACTTGTCAAAGAATCAAAGTATTTTGCCAAATAAGGTCAGTCTCTGCTCTGTCATTTTCTCATCTCAGCAAGGTCTATTCGACATTGTATTTCCCGGAAGTGAAGTTCCAAAGTGGTTCAGCCATCACAAAGATTTGTGTAATAAAAGTGATAGATCTGAGTTTTCTTTTGAAATCCCTCTACATTTGAACCTGGAGAACAGAGGTTTGGCTATCTGTGCTGCTGTTGAAATTAGCCAAAGGGAAAAGGGTGAGGAAATTAGCCAAAAGGAAAAGGAAATTAGCCAAAAGGGAAAGGAAATTGGTCAACAGGAAAAAGAAATTAGCCAAAAGGGAAAGGAAATTGGCCAAAAGGAAAAAGAAATTAGCCAAAAGGGAAAGGAAATTGGCCAAGAGGAAAAAGAAATTAGCCAAACGGGAAAGGAAAGTGACCAAAAGTCAGTAAAAATTACGCAAAGTAATTTTGGTCGTTGCCATTTGACAACCAGGGTTGACATTAATGGACAAACAGATGTTGCACCACATTCGGTTTATCTTGACGCAAAATATATGGAGTCAGCTCATGTGTGGCTGCTCTATATTCCATTTCTTAAGATTGTGCAGTCTCTAGTGAGGCCTTTTACGGATCAAGTTAGTACTTGTCGAGTTAGTTTGGAACATACTAGCAAAGGTTTGGTGTTCTGTAAGAGCTGCGGGGTCCACCTGGTAGTGCCGCAAGATGAAGACTTGAAAGATGATGAAGATGAGGAACTCATGAAAACCTGAAGATTTAAAAGATGAGAAGTACTTCTACTATGAATTCGAAGATGATGAAGATCCATTCTGAGAACTATATCCTCTGAACGTGGCAAGGTCAAATACCCTTTCTTTTGTTGGCATTGTTGTGTCTGAAGAGGCTTCTTACAAACAGATATTGTCAAGCCTATGTGTAGAATCTGTTGATTAATATTTGTGTGAATTTTTTGATTTAATTCGACATTTCCAGCCAATGCATGGTATTAGTTGTAAGAGGATTTTGGTTTGTTAGACTTCAAGTGAGTGGCGTATTAGTTGTGAGAGGATTTTGGTTTGTTAGACTTCAAGGATTTTGGATTTATTGGCATCATTCTCTTCCATGTTCAACTCCATCTCATATGTTTTTAACTTCCTTATTAGTTTGCCAAGTCTAATGTGATTTAGATTTTGGACTTGCATGATTGCTGTTTTCTTTGGTCTAAATCTAGGAGGAAGGACTCTAAGGATTTTCTAAATAACAAGAAACTCTTGTATGGGCTAACCGAGACTCATTGCCTCATTGGTAATTATTTCTACCCTCTCATAGAACTCAGATATATTCTCAGTCTCAGACATCCTAAGTTCTTCAAATTGTGCAAGCACCATTTGAAGTTTGAGTGTTCTAACCTGATCATCCCCCTCATGGACAACTCTGAGTTTATCCCAGGCAAGTTTGGCAGTGGGAATATGTTGAATATGGGAGAACTGGGTACTCAATAAAGCAGCTACTAAGGCATTCTTGGCCTTTTTATTGCAATTGGCAGCAAAAATCTCATTCACAGTCCACTCGACCCTTGGTTTTGACACAACTTTACCATCTACTGTTTTCACATGATGTCTCCATTCTTTTGTGAGATACTCCTATGCAATGTTCATCAAGTGCATCTAGAAATATCTCAAATTTTTCTCTCCAGATAGCATAATTATTTCCATCGGAGAAGAGTTGCAAGACACCAACTATAACGCCATATGACCTCTCTATTTGGGTTAAGAGTTGGCGCCCTGATACCAATTGAAATTGGTACTTAGGTGAAAGGGGTAAATTTAAGACTTACTTAGACAATTTACCACAACAATAACCAAACAATCCTAGACACAATATGACTAGTCAACAACTAAGTAGGTTAGAGAAAAAGGCACCTGGCAGCAAATAATTGGACCAGCAAAAAGAAAAAATTAGTTGTTAAAAAACACATCTGGAGACACGTGAGAAAGCAAATGAACTGGCTCTCCAAATGTTACACAAATGATCACTAGTCATACCTAAAATGCTTTCTAATGAATGTATTGCAGCATTTGCCGTTGCCAGCCTTTGATTTTGTTGAGTTATTGATGATGACAGCCATAGGAGAAATAACTAGATATAAAATTAACCTAGTCTAATAACCATGAGCTTGGGTATACATTACATGACCTATTACGAGGTTGTCAAGGGAAGCCAAAAGAAAAACTAGCTAGAATACAACTCAACAATCTCCCCTCTTTTTGGCTTTCCTTGACAGCTCACTCGTGTTTTTCTCAACTCACATCCGAACCGATAGTGATGATTAACTAGAAATACCTGCAAAACACTCAGCCTCCAAACACAGAACAAGCAAAACATCATCACAAAATTTGCAGAAAATGAAATAAATATGCGCTTGCTTTAGGTTTAAGACTGTGTACGTAGCTTATAATCACAAGTGTAGTTTTATATACATGTCGTCGGGGCTAGGTGCCAAAAAAGAGTTTATGTAAAATGACTTTATATACACGCGATGGGGGTAGAGATTGGTTTCAATGTAATAATATGGTGTAGGGTCATATATCATGTGTCATTTAAGTTGAAATTATAAGTTAGGAAATATGCTGCTGAGGCTATAATTTATTATTCTTCAAAATTATTATCAAATATAGTATATTTCTCAAATGGGTTAATGGCAATAGAAATTTTGAAAATGTTGGGAAATCCCTCCTTAATGGATGAGGCTCAGTGTTGGTGGTATGTCAACTCGAGAATTAATTTAATTAGGAAAAGTTTATTGCAGGTTGTAAGCTAGCAAGTTAAGTTTTTGCTATTTTACAAATGTTTTAATTTCAGCCAGCTCTCCATTACCTATTGTGTAAAATCAAGAGAGTAAGTAGCTTAGCTATTGTGTTGTATTAATTGTATCCCATTATTTTACACAGTGGAAGACCTTGCAGTTGTTGTGCGTGGATCGTAGGCGTAACCGAACCACGTTAAAGTTGTGTCTCTCTCTATTCTGGCTTGTTTACTTATTGCTCCCCGGTGGTGCTGTTGAACTTACAAAATTTTACTACTTCTGGTTTTTGCAGTTTCTCAGCTGCAATTCACATGAATGAAGTGTGCATAAATTGAATTCACTATTACATTGATTGATTTCTTTAAATACAAAGCTACGTACATTATACATATATAATACACTTCACTAAACGAACAAGTTAACAACACAAGCAAAAAAATAAAAAATAAAAAATTAGCAAGGCTTACAAGGAATAGTTTTTATTTTATAGGGTATATAGGATTAATTGAATCATTAAAAATAAATAAAATGAAAGTTTATGTTTGATCAAATTCATGAGGCTTTGGTCAATGATTTGAACGTCACGGATGAACCCAACAACACCGTGCCGGCATCAACGGTAAAAGTGTCATATCGAAGGAAAAACTCCACCAACATTAACCTGGAAATGAGCACCACCAGATCCTTTCCCGGGCACTGCTTATTCTCAGCCGTCGGATGATCATCCATCTGACGACCGTTGGACCAGTAAAGGTACTTCAGCAGTTTCTCTCCCTCCCCCACAAACCTATGGGGCACAAACTCCTCTGGGTTCTCAAAAACCTTCGGATCCTTCCCAACAAAATTCTGATTTCCAAAGATCATCTCACCTTTCTTGATCTCAAATGTGGCATCGTGGCTTTGGATCACGATATCCTCCTTGGCCTTCCCGTACTGGTACGGTACAGGAGGCTCGATCCTCAAGGCTTCATAAACCACTGATTTAGTCAAAGTCATCTTCTCCAGCGCTGCAAAAGTGACTTCACCTTCGCTTTCTTTAAGAACGGTTCTGATTTCGTTACGGAGCTCGCGGTGCAGCTCCTCTCCTCCTGACGCAACCCACTTGATCAAAGCAGGAAACAAAAGCTTCATGCCACCAAATGCGTTGAAGCCAGCCACGAACAGCAGATTGTGACAAGCTTCCTCGCGTGAAAGTCCGAATTTACCCTCTGCCAAGTCCAAAGCCGAAGCGGCGGACTCGTAAAAGGCATCGTACAGCTTCTTGTAAGGGGATTTGACGAGAAAGGCAGGGTAGGAGAACGTGTGCAGCAAGAAATCTTCAACAAACCCTAGAAACTTTGGCACCCCAAACGTAATCTGAGGGGCAAGCTGTGGAAAGAGCCAAAGAGTGACCAGGCTGGGCCCTTTGGAGCCGAGCTTTGTGTTTGACGGGCTCTGACCACAAAACAGCTCAAAAACGAAATTGAACGACATGTCGTCGCTCAGTGTGTTGAAGTATGCCTTGCCATCTTTGGAGAGTTGGGCTTCCAACTTGAGAAACATGTCAGAGGCGGAGCTCTGGAAGAGGGGTATAAATTTGGTGTGCTGAGAAGCGAGTAGGGCTGCGAAGTAGCTCTTGAGAGTGGCGTGGTTGGGCTCCGAAGGGTCAAGATAAGCGCAGACGCGGTAGCCGCCGGTGTAGGCGGTGGAGGGCATGTAAGTGCCGTCCAAAACGTCGCGTCTCAAGACTTTGGTGTTGTCAAAGATGATTGGGAAGCTCTTGGCATCGAGCAGAGCGATGACTTTAGGGTTCGAAGGGATGAGGATGCCGGGAGGCATGTTTGTGCGGAAGACTGTGGACTGGTATTTTTCTATTCTGGTTTTGAAGAAATCGTATCGGCCTTGGTTGTAGAAGTAGTCATAGCGATCTTTGATGTGTCCAAAAAATGGCCAGCCATAGTCTCCAGGGATTGGCTTCAATGGAAGGTTGTTTGGTGAAAAAGAAGAAGAAGAAGACATGGTTTGATAATTGTGCTTTGGGACGGGGAAGAGGTGGGATTTTTGGAGGCAATGTGGGATGAGTTGTACGAGGTTTTAAAACAAGGGATGTGCTTGCTTTGGGGTGCAGATGGGGAAAGTTAGGTTTAATGATTTTGTAGCTTATGGTCATATCGATAGTGTGGTTCCCTTATATATATATATATGGATATAGGGTGGGAACTTGTGGTGGCGGCTAGGGGTAGAAAAGTATTTTTAAACAAATATTCTATAAAAGTTGCTGCATGTGTTTGTACTTTTCAGCCCGGGTCCAATTGGGGTCCTTGTATCCCAGTTCCTCTTTGAACCAAGAAGGATAGATTTGCAGCAGAGGGAAAATTAAACTAACGTGGAGTAATGAAATTGAAGAAGAAAATGGTAGAATAGTATTTTTTTTGCCCTTGATCATCTAATGCATGTGGTTTTAGTGATAAAATAGAATATGGGTTGGACCAAAATTCCAATCAGAATTACGGAAGGGTATTTTGTCCCATCTTCTAATGACATCAAAACACATGGATAACATGTGTGTAGTTTCTTATACAAACCTTGTATGGCTGCCGGGACACCAATGACTTCGTCTTTACAATACTTTCTCGCCTGAAGTTTTTTTGAAGTTTTTTTTTGAAGTTTTTATACAAGTGATATTAGAGGAGGTGGAATTCAAACACAGGACCTCGATATAAAGATAACTGTTTTTAACAACTTGAGCTATAAATCTCTTGCTTATTCATTAATTAATTTTAAATAAAAATAAAATCGATAGAATAATTTGGTTGTACATAGTTTGCACACAAAAGTTTTGTACACAGTCAATAAGGTTGGTTTGTTTTAATGTAAAAGAACTTTTCTTTTGTAAGCTAACATGTGATAGGGTAGAGTCTGTTAATGTAATAAATACAGTAGGGTCATATGCCCTAAGCCATTGAAGTTGAAATTAAAAGTTAGGAAATATGCTGCTGGGTTCATGTCCTTGCTATAACAAAATTTCTGTAAAATTATTATCAAATATAGTATATTCACCATATAGGTTAAAACTGCAAAAGACCCACTAGTATAGTGATTTGGAGCAATTGCTCCTTCAGAAAAGGTCCTGGGTTCGAATTTTAGCATCCGTGTAGTGCGTGTGAGTTTAATATGCTATTACTCCTCTCAATAGGAAATATTTTTTTTTTTAATTTGGTTAAATACGATATCAATTTTGAAGAGTGCGCAAGTGGTGCCACCGCACAGGGCCCCGAAATTTTTTTGTGTATATTATATATATTATAGGTATTATATATATACTTGAGCGTGCATGACAAGAACACAAGCGACTATTTGGTTGAGTTGGAAATCAACGCCTTGATTTTAGTAGGCAAGTCAGGTTTGAGTTTAGTATTGTATTTACATTTCTTCTCTTTTTGTTAACAAGAAAAAACAATGAAAAACATGTTTCTGAAAAAAAGACAAAAATAAGGAAACACGCCAAAGAAGAGGAAAGCAATATATACAAAAAAATTCCAATCAATCAAAACAACTTGTTGTGCATGTTTTCACCCACTCAAAACAAAACAAAAAAGTTATTGTCTTCTTCTTCCTCTTCTTTTTCGCAAATTGAAATATTAAATTTTTTGTGAATTTGATTTATGATTGTCATTGCATGCTAATCGATGACGAATTTTAGTTATTAAAAAAATTATCTTATGGTATTAAGTCATGGAATTTTTTTTTTTAATCATAAAAACACTTGTGCATGTTTTCACTCACTCAAAACAAAACAAATAAAGTTATTGTCTTCTTTTTCCTCTGCTTTTTCTCAAATTGAAATATTAAATTTTTCGTGAATTTGATTTATGATTGTCATTGCATGCTAATCGATGACGAATTTTAGTTATTAAAAAAATTATCTTATGGTATTAAGTCATGGCAAATTTTTTTTTATCATAAATATTTTCATATTAGATGATGTGAGGGCTCTCGCTTAAATTTTGCACAGAGCCTTCAAAATCTCAGGGGTGGTAACCTGTGGTGGGGGCTAGGGGTAAAAAAGTATTTTTAAACAAATATTCTATAAAAGTTGCTACATGGGTTTGTACTTTTCAGCCTGGGTCCAATTGGTCCTTGAATCCTAGTTCCTCTTTGAACCAAGAAGGATAAGATTTGCAGCAGAGGGAAAATTAAACTAACGCGGACTAATGAAATTGAAGAAGAAAATGGTAGAATAGTATTTTGTGCCCTTGTTCATCTAATTCATGTGGTTTTAGTTTACTGATAAAATAGGGTATCGGTTGGACCAAAAATCCGTACAGAATTAGGGAAGGGTATTTTGTCCCATCTTCTAATGACGTCAAACGCATGGAAGATGTGTGCAGTTTCTAAGTATACAAACTCAGTGCAGTTGCGGGGGCACCAATGACTGTTTTTACAACATGTTCTCCCCTGAAGTTTTTTTTTTTTTTTTTTTTTTTTTAAATTGTTATACAAGCGATATTAAAAGAGGCGGAATTCAAACACAGAACTTCGGTACAAGGATAACTGCTTATTCAACTTGAGCTATATTAAGTCTCTTGCTTATTCATTGATTGATTTTAAATAAAAAATAATATCGATATAATAATTTGGTTGTACATAATTTGCACACAAAAGTTTTGTATACAATCAATAGGGTTGATTTGTTTTAATGTAAAAGGACTTTTGTTTTGTAAGCTAACCTGTGATGGGTGTGTTAATGTAATAAATACAGTATGGTCAAAGTGGCATAAATATTATATTATTTATTTTATAAACACAAAATGCACGTGCGAGAGATGTCAAACTAGGTCATTTTTTAAACTGGACCTTGATATTTTGTCATCAATTTTGAGGCCTTGATATTTTGAATATGGGAAATTTAGGTTAAAATCTTGAAGGTTTTATTTATTTGTTGGCCAAATGTCTTATTTACCCTACATGGTTGAAGAAGAAATTAAGTGTAGGCAGCTACCCACACTAGGCTCTACGTAGGTCGGCCAATGCATGTACCATGTGCCATTGAAGTTGAAACTAAAAGTAACCAAGGTGGTTGGTGTGAGTGGTTCGGCACTCTCATTCCTTAAGAGAGGTCAGGGGTTCGATCCCTGCTCTCGTATGGAGTCACCACTTTGGCCAGCACTTTACTCCTTACGGGCCGACCCGGTGTGAACGGGGATTAGTCTGGGTTGTGGTTAAGGCTTAAAGGTGCCATCCATAGTTGGAGCCCATCCAGGACCACCTCGTGGTTCAGACCAAAAAAAAAAAAAAAAGTTGAAACTAAAAGTTAGGAAATATGCTGCTGGGTTCATGTCCTTGCTATAACAAATTTTCTGTAAAATTGTTATCAACTTGATCACATATTTCCTGACTTTTAATTTCAACTTCAATGGCTCTTTTTTTTCCAAACATATTTCCTGACTTTTTCTTTTACATATATCCTCGTGGTGGCTTAATGAAATTTCCTCGTGACTCTTTTTTATTATTTTTTGGACAAATTAGTATGTAAATAATATAAATTATACAGGCTCCAATATATTTATTATATAAGTTAAGTTACAATATAAATTTGAAGAGCATAACTTCTAAGACTAACTATGTAAATGCGTGAACAACTTGATCACATCCTTGCGGCTTGAATGAGATTTTATCCCTCTACCTGTTCAAAGATATTGAACAAAAAACTAAAACCAGGGGTGAAAAAAAAACTATGAACTAAGAGCCTGTCAAGCTGATTTGATGTTCAAAGAAATAAAAATAAAAATAGTTTTTGAAATCTAATCTAAATTAAATGAGAGAGATTCAAACTCGATTACAGAATGGGAAGCACATCCATTCTAGCCAAATTGATTAAGCCCATGTATGCATAAGTTGACAATGTTTATTGCACGCAAACTATAAAGTATTATAAAGTTTTTCTGTTTCTCAAAAATAAAATGGGAGACTTTAGGTTTGAACGACTTTTCAATGTGGAAGTACATTATGTATATGGTATAATGAAAAGTGTCAATCTAAATCCTACAAACTCTCTGTATTAAGATGTATATGTTATTAATTAACATGGATGACTAAAGATGTATATGTTATTATAATTAAAAATACGACTAACGTGCATTAATTATAAATAAGCTTTACCCTATACGATTAAGATATATACGTTCTTCCTATTAAAAAGAAGAAGAAGGATATTTGTGTCAACAAAAGATTTGGTTTACCTCTACCTGTCTTTTCCTCTACACCGACTATAAAATAACAAAAAAGAATCAACTTGGCACATTTTATATCTGCATTGTGACAAACAAGTCAATTCCGAAGAAATCGGGCGTAATTTAAAAAGGTCCATGTGAATCGTGATTTGTGAAAAATAAATGTGTATATAATGGCCAAATTACGAATTAAAAATTGTTACCTAACCTGATTAGGGCATGAAATTAGGAATTATATTATCACTTCACACTCATGAATCGTTCCATTGGACCCATTCTGATTGCATATCCCTTTGTTCATATTCATATGTCCGTCTATAAAATAAAATGCTATCATGCCCAAAAAAAACAAAGAAATCTCGTTTCGCAGATGTTTCGAACTTATTTTAGCGACAGAAAAATGTTTATGAGTAAAACTACTTCCTATGTAAGCACTCTCGAACAACCTTCTTAATTATTTTTCCTAGTTTAATCAAAGCGGTAGACAATGGAGCCAAGAAAGGCATAACAAAATTTAAAGCATATGCATAAAATTAAAACCATGCCCTTAACTCCTGTGTTATTTCTCCCATTACTGCCTCAGGCCCACCCCGTTTCTTCTCGCTTTCCCATTACTTTTCCTTTCCTCTCTTCAGTTATGCCACTGATTTAACCATACCATACGCGCGCTTGATTCCATGGAGTATTGGTCTCTACTTCTTCGACGCATGGCATACTAAGAAGGGTAATGCCAAACCAAGATAAAGAGTGTTAGCGTCTATCACACACCACATACCGAGCAATGGATGATTATGGGACTCACTATAAAGGCCACATTGATCAGCACCTCAGAATGCGTTGGTCGATTGACGCTAGCACTCCTCCAACCTATATAGTTAATTTTTAAAACCACTTTATCCCATGATATGCAACAACTTGTGGAGCTATTGACGCTAGCACTTTCCAACCTATATTTATTTTATATAACCACTTTACCCCATGATGTACAACAGGTGACCCGTCTCAGTCAACGCATTTTACATTTTGACATATACGGAGTAGATTTAAGAAATGAACATCACATGCTAAAGTCGCTGGCAGAGTAAATAATTCTACTAAAAATAAGGGTAGGAAGAGTATCATTGTAGAGAACTCTCCACTCCCTCCATCAACCAACCAAACAATCAAAGCCTATCATTATGAATTGCTCACTAAGAGCTTTTGGTTTTAGGTGCAACTACTGTAGCCTTTCAAAATCATAACATAACGGTAAACGTGACAGATAATCACTCTGTTTTGTAAAAGCAAAGTCATCGCCTGCTGTTTAGCCTGCTTAATAAATAATCTACCAAGAAAAGAATTAAGCGTATTCAAATCAAGAAGTTGACGTAATCGTCAACGACACAACGCAGAGCTGGAAATAATGAGGGAACCATAGCTGGATAGAACATTTTTTGTATTTTCATATGAGTCTGAAGAATGTACATATTAAACTTCACGACCCAATAAGTTATATTGATACATTTTCTCTTGTTACTAACAAAACTTCTGAAGGAACTCCATCCTTGCAGATCTTACCTCAGCTGGGAGGAATCCTGTCTAAAAGAGAGACATGTCTGCCGGTGGTCCATACAGAGTCTTCCAAGACAATGGAGTAACCCATTTATCATTGCTGTCGCCTGCACAAACCATTAGTAAAGATGAGTATACCACTAACATCATGAAACTCAGGCTTCTAGGAACAAAAATAGATCCAATGGAAAATATATATATATATATATATATATATTTGGGGTAGGAAAGGGGAAAATCAAGGATCTTTTTTATATATTGGCTAAAGTTTATAATAGCCTGAATGCTCCTAATAAAATGTTAAGCTATAAAATCGATAATTAAGAATGTGACCTCAGAATAATAACTGACGACATAATGGAAGACGATTTAGGTAGCTGTGGTCAGGCAAGGCAATTGCATCCTTGCCAAACCCTGCCTCAGGAATTAATTTTAGCTCATCACCATCCTACATCCGATTTACAGTAGGGTAAATCACCCCATTCAGGATGGGCTAGGACTTGGGCTGAAATCATGCCCTTGGGTAACCATTCTTCTAGGACAAGCTAATGAATAATAAAATCTGACCAGTGCAGAGAATGATTTATAAAATATTGAGAATAAAAAATCTATATATTGACAAAATCTCAACTTCCTGTCAGCACTCTGAATGTTGATGTGCACATGCTATGAAACATAGATGTGCCAGCACACAAAAAGACACAATATCTATTTCTAAAGCATTACCGACCATGAAATCAAGACTTAAAATGACACGCATTAAATTAAAATCACTACATTTTCTTTAAAGAATAAGAAAGTATTAAGATTAACACACATGCTAATCAAAGAGAACAGGCAAAACAAAAAATAAAGCTTATGGGAATGACAAGCCTTCCTCTCAAACAAAATACATTAAATAGTGAAATAGTTATAGCTATTCATTGAAGAGAAACTAACCCTGGAAATTACTGGGACTCAAGTCCAGAAGTTTGCATGCTGCCTCAGCCAAATGGAAAGCATCAGGTATGTTGTCCCCTTCTGAGCAGTAGCAAAATAAGCAAGTGACCTTCAATCCTTTGGCCTGATTCAATAAGAGAAATCATAGGATAAATAAAATAGAAAATTTCCTCTTAATTCATGGTTTACACATTTGGGCAAGAGAGATTGAAACGGAAATGATTGCAACCAGTTGGCATGAACACATTTATTGCAAAACATAAATAGGGTGTTCGCCAAGGGGAACCCCCCATGTTTGGGAACAACTGTCCATGTCCACTTATTGCAGACTTGGGTATGCATTGCAAAGAATACCTTGAGACAAGAAAAGAGTGCGGCAAAAGGCAAGCTCGGGTAGTAATATTCTTCTTCTTCTAGTTCACCTTCAAAGGGCAAGATGCTCTCTGGTATGGCATTGCCTTCAGCTAATGTGCTGAGATACTTCCAAGCCTTCTGAGTGGGTTTATATTCCTGCAGTTTTTTCCACCCAAGCTGTTCGCAGTAATCATCTGTTCCATCTGAATTGGTGCTAGACAGGTAAAGCGTCTGCAAACCACTGGTATGTCGCCAAAAGATAAATCAGCATTTCAAAAAAGCACATAAAACAACAGGCCATCCAGCTCCCCAACCACATCATTGTACGAACAATAGAGTTCAAAAGCATATGATTATCTTTTATGACTAGTTATGCATGTTTGAAGAATGGAGATGTTTAGTTTCCACATCGGTTCCAAGTTCTTGGTACAATTCCTGAAGTACACTAGAAAGTTTATTCTCAAATGAAGCTTTAACTGAAGAAGGCATAATATTTTTATGGTATCATTACCAAACTGTACGAAGTAAAAGCAAACATAAGATGCAAAAATACGCCAAACTAAGAAGCTGCAGCCAAGCAGGAAATGCCAGAATTCTAGGGGAATACAACAGTTAGATCCAAGAGGACAATGATTGTGCAATTGTTGCACAGAGAGAGTAAAGTAGTTTTAGTTCAAAACGAATTACAAGATGTTCGTAGTTTAACAATCTTAAGAGATATTTCAATATTTGTCATTCCCTTCCTCTGGAATATTTAGATTTACCAAAATCAAGTACTTCGCTTATTAGGTTGAGAGTTTGACCTAAATATTTTTCATCCAATCAGCTACATTCCTATATAAACGCACTTCCCTAGTTGATGCATTCGAAGTATTAAGGCATTTTTTTAAACTAGGCGCATGAAATGCTTACTTGCCAGGGCACTGGTCTGAGCTGACTGAATAACTTACTCACAGCCATTAAACGAAAAAACTTCAAAAAATCTAAAGAGCTAACAGAAAACGAGAACCTTTCTCATTATACCTTGACATATCAACTCTCTGCCACCTCCCAAAATCTAAGCTTGAGAGCACGACAACATGCTTCTTCCCACTAGCAGCAACATAATCAGCCAAGTTTTTAGCAAATTCAATCATCCTTCCCTGTTTAGAATTACCATTTTTTAAACCTTTAAGATTCAAAAGCAGAGCACTACAACAAGAAAGATGAAAGGACCAAAACAATCCCAAATGTGTAGCAAAAGGTTCAAGCGTACCTTAACAACAGGAGACCTTTGTTGGATTAAAGTCATTGCATTAGCAGACGAATCATAAGCTGCAAACACAAATATGAATTCATTTAAAAAACAGATTTTTTTTATATAAAAAAAGCTAAATAAGAAAGAGAAGTAAGAGAGTGAGGACCTTCAAGAGGGAGAGCAAGCTCGCCATTTGGAACAGGCCCATATGCGTCGTTGCCAACGCATGGAAGCACATAGGGAGTATCCAAATACCCAATTCTCTCAGCTCTCGTTGACGCAACTAAGAGGTCCACTGCAAGCTGCCCCACATTTCCAATTGACAAAGCCGGCTGCATTCCATAAAGATTCAAATTTTCAAATTTTCCTAGACTTTCTAAGCAACCAAACAGAGCTCAAACGTCCGGGACAAAAAAAAAAAAATAACTCGTAGCTAAACATCAATTAAAAAATTAGAAAGAACAGCCACTGCCCTAGAAAATTGAACTGACCAGGATCAGAGTGGAAGAGTCGCCGTTGACGTGTTTGCCTTTTTCAGGAGCGAATTCCATTGCCGAGCAAAGCAGGAAATTGCTGAAATGTATGATCGGTGAGCCGGTGACTCTGAATGTGAGGGAGGTTGTTCAAGCTGAAGAAGAGAAGAAGGAAACTTTTTGGGGAAGAAAATATATGTGGGCCAATTCTGGGCTCCATTAGTCCTAGTTTTGGGGCCTTGGGTACATTGGGCCAACTAAAAGTCTAACACCACATAATGATCGAAACAAAAAACAAAATTATTGTAATGCGAGAAAAGCTTCATGATAATTATTTCTGAAAGAAGGTTGTGTACAAGAATTTTTCTTTACAGGGGTGTTATGGGATTCTAATTAATTGAGTTTTCTTAGGGTCTATTTGGTTCGCGGAATGTTTCTTTGAGTATAGAGAAAATGGGACTCATTCATTTGACAAGTAGTTGTTTATTAAAGTATATAAGTTTTGTATTGAAAATGACAAAAATGTATCAATAGCGTGTTGATATGTTTTATTAGTGACATGTTATCGGTACATATTGATAGCCCGTCCTTTACGTTCTTTAGAGAGAAACCCTTGCAAGACTTACCCAACCTTCATCATAAGATCTCTTCTTCTACAGAAACGCCACATTTTAAATTTCCCGTATTGTAGTTTAGGTGATTGAATTGTATACACAATTTGGTTTCTAGTTGTTTTTAGTTTACAATATGTCCAACACATATTATTGTTGACTCTTGAAGCTGCATCTTCTTCTATTTGTCCCTACGAAACCAATTTTTATCAGGACCCATAGTTGAGTTTAATAAAAACGAAATAACAGGACTCTTTTAAACTTGTTCATGGGTTGGAGGCCAAGACAAAAGAACAGGAACATGACTTTTTTTTTTTCCGTATCTGATCAACCAGAGAGAGAGAATCTGGCACGTGCAAAACACCACGAGGCGGAAACAAAGTGGGCACAAACGTTTTGGGTAAAGCAGAATTGGACTCAATTATTGGATGAGAATCCCTGACGTTTTCATGGTTGAACTTCCCAATTCTTATTATATTGTTCATAGAAAAAAAAAGTCTTCTTCTTCATCAGTAGTAGTAGGTTGCAGGCCCTTGTTTCCACTTTGTTCTCCCATCTTCCTCCTTAGCTTGTAATTTTCTTCTCTTGGGTTTTAGTTTTAGATTCACACAATTAATTGGTAAACAATGGCTACTTCAAGTTCAACAGAAGATATTGAAATGGCGGTGGCTATGGAGGAGATTGCTCGTGAGCACGACGCAGGGGATATCGAGTCTGCTAAGCACTCTGAGAACTGGAGCAACACGAACGAGGATGAAATTAGTATTGACAAATGCATGGACCCTGAAATATACAGCTACACAACCTCTAAAGAAGAACTGCAGATGGAATTGCTCCAAGTAAGCCCCCTTGGCAACACCCTGGTTCACTTCGCCGCGAGTGTAGGCGACGCTGCCCGTGTTGAACGGCTGCGCTACCTGTCACCGGAGCTCATCTTAACGAAAAACAACGATGGAAACCTCCCGCTGCACTTAGCAGCATCCGTAGGGGACCGGTCCACAGTCCTTTCTCTTGTAGAATTTCCTCAAACTGATATGCTGAGGGAAAAGAATAACAGAGGGAACACGGCGCTGCACGTGGCCATGGAAAATGGGCACCTAGAGGTGGCTAAGTTGTTGATTGAAAAAGATGGATCGATGTGGTATTCTCCAAATATGCACAACAAGACTCCCATTTCCATGGCTGCTGAAGCTGGAAATCATGAGCTCGTTAATTTAATGCTCTACCGCTATCAAGATCAGCCGATAGGCACTGAACCAGATGGTTCCAGCTACTATCTTTTTAAGAACCGGTGGGAAGGGAACTCGGTTCTACGAGCTGCCATCTTAGGAAGGAATAAGGGTACATAATTTCTTTCTGCCACTAAATTTTAAGCATCATTTTTGGTTGACATTTTAATCAAATACAATCTTTTTGGTTGCCATTATATTTGTTGTAAATTCTTATAGGTGTCTTTGATGCAATACTTTTGGACACTGATCCGTCTTTGATCGACTCATTGGATGAAGAGGGGATGACTGCTCATACACTTGCAGCACATATAGGTGACACTGAAGCCGCACGCAAGTTGTTAAGCTTGTGTCCTGATGGCCCATACAAGCAGGACAAAAATGGCTTCACACCAGCACATTTGGCCTCCAGAAAAGGCCACATCAGGATTGTCGGAATGTATCTCAATCGCTGCCCGCGATCGAGGTACTTGCTCGATGGTAACAAATGGAACATTCTACATGTGGCAGTCTGGCATCGAAGAGACAACATGGTAAAATTTTTGCTCAAAAGGCGAGAGCTTGAAGGGCTTATCAATCAGAAAGATCGCTTTGGAAACACACCTCTGCAATTAGCAGTTCGGCTAGGGTATCCAAAGAGTGTCAGCATTTTGGCATCGGATAAGAGGGTTAACTTAAGCATTAGGAACCATGAACGCCATACGGCAATGGACATTGCACGAATGTCGTTGATGGGTGAAAAGATCTTGTTTCTTCGAAGGGTACTTAATTTTCTCAACATATTTTATTGCCTTCACATTTCAACTCTCCTTACAAAGGAGCGGATCATTAACTGCAATTTTTCTCTCCTTGCAGCCTCTAACAGTTATGGCCTTGACACTAGCTAATGCTTCACGATCTCAAGAGAGGATTATTGCCAAAGTAAAGCCGGCGAGAGTTAATTATTTTAAGAACACTAAGAAAGATGGAGAATTTCATTCTGGGGCCACTGAAGATGCTGACAGCCACAGACAGACTGTCAACAATCTCTTGTTGGTGTCGACACTTGTTGCCACGGTAACCTTTGCTGCTGGCTTCACAGTGCCGGGTGGATATAAGAACTCTGGACGTGATGAAGGCAGGGCAACTTTGGTTACAGATTGGCCATTCAAAACATTTCTGATATGCAACACCATAGCAATGTATAGCTCAATCACTGGTGGAATTTCCCTTCTTTGGGCACAAACAGGTGATATGAGTTATGCTTCTGCAAGATTTGGATTGCCAATATTAGGGGTAGCTCTCTCAATGATGTTCATGGCGTTCATGGCTGGTGTTGCACTAGTAACAAGTAACCTTATTTGGCTTTCGATCTTTGTTGCCATTACGGGTTCAATCTTTCTCGTCATCATATCAGCTCTGCTTGTTCCACTAATAGTCCCAATTTCTTCCAAGAATCGCATTACACGGTTCATCTTGTACTGTATCTTCCGTTTGTTGTTGAGCGTAACTAGATATGATGATGATGATGACGATGACGGGGTTCACATTGTTTGTTGACATGGGGAGAAGAATAGCTTTTGGATTCTCAAACATTCTCAATCAAAGCTATGGTGAGTTATGTTCAAGATGGCGTGCTACCAGCCGCCTCTACTTTCTTGCCTCTTCCTCCCATTCTATATTTATTTCAAGACTTCTCTTCATATGTTCTCCTAGTTCCACAGCCTCTCTGTTGCCAGAAATTTATCTCCTATGCCGCCATTAGAAATACTCCTTAAAAGCATTAGAAGTTAACATAGAAGTTAACATATCCCTTGTACTATGTTACTGTTAATTACTGCAATGAGTTCAAATATCTTCTACTGCTCTTACAAAATAGAGCAATTTGTGTAATAGAATTAGAGAGAGAATACATGTCTCTCCTCCCATATTGAATATTAAGGGAAGTCTAGTGGTGCCAAAACCACCCTCTGCATCCCCTGTTTTTTTGCTCTGTCTTTCTTTCTTTTGCATTTCATTGTTGAGCTTGCTAGATTTGAGCAGCTAAGCTCACATCTAGATTAATTCTTTGTTTACTGGCATAATGAAATTTCAGCTTGGAGATCTAGAATGTTTGAAACATCACAAATTTTAGGGTTTGGGCATGAAGATTTGTTGATCCACCAAATATTTTGGCCTTCCAGAAAGAGATTATTTTGCTCGTTCCCCTTACCCAGAAAAAAAAAATCCCCAACCATCTTTCTAGCTTCTGCTGCATACCTACAAGTATCATCCTGGTATCTGTTTCTTCAACAAATACGGTTCACCATCCATCTGATGGATAAACTATTCATGAGTAAGGCAAATCAAGATACATTCCTAGCAAACAATTCAGCCCCTTCAAACTCCAAACCGCAGACAATGTCATGTAACAGTACCAAAATTTTCAAAGTGAAACCTTCAAAGATACGTTCCAAGAGACGCCATATACATATAAAATAAGTGCATAAAACCCATGATATATCTATAACATGTGACATGTCAATACGTTTTACTATTAACATGCTGTTGTCGACACATTGACATCTTGAAACTATGTCAAGTTGCTCGGATTACTAAGGCCATTGCATGGAAACCATCAAAAAGAGGATTATTAGCTGGAATTATCAAGCCATCAACGCTTCTCATAAGATCCCTTCTATATACTTCATCATTTGTTTCTACTTCTTTTTGGTTTACGATCTGTCCAACTTAAAGTCCATGGACACATACTAACATTGACTCTTGAAGCTGTATCCTCCTCTATTTTTCCCTAAAAATGTCGTTTCCATCTTCGATTGCCTTTTTCCGACGACAACATTAATTTGGCTTCGACATTTTTGGACTGGTTTGCCTTAAGTCATCATGCCATGCTTTGTAACACCACTTAAGCACAATCCCAAACAAATGGTGACGCGCATGCCATGTATCCCAAAAAAGTCATGAAAGTTCAAAATCCTTTTCTGAATTTAGCAAGAGGTGATATGAACAATAAGAAACCATTACAACATGTTAATATGAACAATAAAATAGAAGAATTTCAAGAAATCAACTCTTAAAATAAACTCGCAAGGAAAATTTTCGATTGATACTCGGATTCCGAATAATAATTTTCGGTTGATACTCAGATTCTGAATAATATTTTTTTTACGTCAATATTAGCCGAGCTTACGAAACTTCGAAATGGGTTAAAATTCAAAAGTACATTTTTGTGGCCTATATTTTCTTCTCAGGTAGGACGACTCATGATCTACGTACACCAATTATTTGTATGTATCAACCAATTGTATAGGTCGACAAAGACAACACTACTAGTTTTGGCAGTGACAGCTTGTTAGACTTTGGAGCCCAGGAATTAATTGTCATAAACCTGTCCATTAATGTT